TTTCATTTTTTTCTGTAAAACTGTCTTCAAGATTATTCAGTCTCTCTTCAGTTTTTTTTACAGACCATTGGCCATGGAAAACATTGTTCTTTTAAAGTATTCTATATGTAGTTAAATACAACTAATGAAGTTGTGGTTCTTTTTTTGTTCCCATGTTATTGTACGGTTAAAGCTCTTTGCTTTTCCATTCTGGTGATGCACTTTCTGCATAAATGGGAAACTGATTTTTTTTTCTCCCATAGATGGATTCCACGGGATGTCAAAAGACAGTGTGGCCACCCACCTACTAGATGGTCAGACTTCTTCGTCAAGATCATGAACGATTGGTTTGAGGCTCTTCATGTTCCCAGAGCGAACAGATGCCACTGGGCTACACTAGCACGCGACAGGGACAAATGGAGACGTTACTGGCGCCTGCTCCAGCAAATCGACGACTAACGGGAAGTTAAGTGATTAAGTGATAGATGATTTTATGACTTTGTTCACCATTTTTCTAATTTCATTTTCCAACGTCATCCAACTAGCTTACCATGGTGCCAAAAATGTATGAGTATGTAAGCACCATTTGATTTTTTTTTATTTGCTACTGGAATTAATTTTAGGCTTTTTTCCCCATTTGAACTATTTAGATTCCTCTTAAAGCAGTTTTAATTGTTTGTTTGTTTGTTTGGGGGCTACATTCAGAAGTGCTAAGGGCTTACCCCTGGCTCTCAACTCAGGAATCATGCCTGGATCCATAGGGGGTGCTGGGGATTGAACCCAGGTTGGCCGCATTTAAGGAAAGTGCCATATCTGCTTTAATGTCACTGTAGCCTTAATTTGAGTATGCATGTAAAGAGCTGGCTGAATCTCCTGGATCATAGAATCTTCTGCCCCCGCACCAGGCTGTCTTCACGGGGTCCCCCTCCAAAGGGGTCAGGTTGAGTTTCCCTCTTTGCCCCAAGCAGAACCCAAAAACCTCCAGAACCTAGCCACAGTCATGCTCAAGGTCACTTTCCACATGCGCAGAAAAGCTTCATGCATGAATGAACCGATGGAGGAACCCGATATGTGGGACCAGTGACTGAGATCTCCAAGCCTGCTCGGATCAGGACTGGGCCTCCTCCACCCAGATTCCCAGTTTTCCAGCAGCTTGGTAGTCATACCCACAAATTGCCCCTGGCACCATGTAATCTCATCAATGGCCAAGATCGAGAGAGTATAAAAAAAAAAGCTCCTGGAAGAGAGCGATGCAGAATCTCCTGACTCTGTACCCCTCAGAGAGCCCAGCAAGCTACCGAGGGTATCCTGCCTGCATGACAGAGCCTGTTTTTGTTACTATTATGGCAAACTACCCATGACATATGAGTATGCTAAAAATAGTAACAATAACGGGTCTCTCTGACCCTGAAAGAGCCCCCAGTGTGGCTGCATTTGGAAAGACGAATGAGGAGAGCCTGCTGAAATCTCAGGGCTGGGATGAATGGAGATATTACTGGCGCCTACTCGAGCTAATCAATGAACAATGAGACGACAAGTGATACAAGTGATACAAGTGATGTAAAGAGCTGTATTCCAGTTTTGAATAATTTAATTGTTAGAAAGTTATTTTGTAATGTGCTGAGATCTTTTTGGCATAGCATGCTCTTATATAGTCAAGTTTATCTAAAAATTATTTTTCCTTTGAATGATAGCCACAAGGAATAGTACCTTAAATATTAAAATTAGAAATTAATTTAAAAATCTTGACTGAAAGCAGTACAGAAACTTTAGACTGCAGGTAGCGGTAAGGAATGGCCTTCCCCATGTCACAGTTATCTCTGCAGAAGTGTTCTCACCTTTTACTGGTCTCTGCGTTCATTCTTTCAAGCCACAGTGTGATACAAACTTGAACCTTATGTAATAATGAACCCCAAATCATCTAAATATAAAGCACCCATTAATGACAAGTGCCTTAGACTTCATGAAGAAGATGTGGTACATGAAGATGTCATTAAATTAAAATGTAAAATATGAGAGAATTATTCATTGTCCAGATGGTATCCATGGCAGCTTTTCTTCTCAGAATAGGCAGTAATTACTCTCTGTATTTATAATACAAGCAATCCCTGTTCTCTTTTCTCCCACTCTATGCAGATAATAGTGTCCTGTCTGGATCCATGGAGACAGTCAAACATCTTGGTCATAGCCATGACTTGGTAAATGACATAGATGACTCCAAACTCTTTATATTGTTTTCAAAGAATAGCAATATGAATTTATGAGATTTTTTGTAAAATGCAGGAAATACCTTAGGAGGAACCTTTACCTCAAAAGAAGTTCAATTAGCTATAAAAGGTTTGGAATGTTGATGATACTTAACTAATTATCATACTAATTATAACTAAATATTTTATTTTGTAGCTGCTCCATTTGCTGTATTGGTTAATTGTTTCTATGAGCTATTGAGTGGACTCTTTAGGGTCTTCAATATATACCACCATGTCATCTGCAAATAGATAATTGGACTACCTCTATTTCTGTATTCCTTAGATATCTTTTTCTCCCCTGATTGCTGTTGCCAAGACTTCTAGTAAAATGTTGCATTAGAGAAGGGGCCAGTGGACATCCTTGCCTTGTGGCTGACCTTAGTGGGAATACTTTCAGTATTTCATCATTAAGAATAATATTCTCTATGGGCTTTTTAAAAAAATTTTATTAGTGAAACACCATGAGGTACAGTTGTAGACTTAAAAATTTTTGTGCTTGGGTTTCGATTATACAATGATCAAATACCCATCCCTCCACCAGTGCCCATTTCCCACCATCATGGATCCCAGTATCCCTCCCACACCATCCCCCCATCCCACCCTGGCTCTGTGGCAGGGCATTCCCTTTTGTTCTCTCTCTCATTTTGGGTGTTGTGGTCTGCAAGAGAGGCATTGAGTGGTAATCATGTTCGGTCCATAGTCTACTTTCAACATGCATCTCCCATCCTGGGAGGATCCTCCCAACACCCTTTATTTGGTGCTCCCTTCTCTATCTGAGCTGCCCTTTCCCCTAGAATGCCCAGCTGGCCTCTAAGCCATGGAGTAATCCTCCTGGTACTGATCTCGGCTATTCTTGGGTATTAATCTCCTATTTTGTTACTTTATGTCCCCCAGATGAAAGCAATCTTTTTATGTCTATCCCTCTCTTTCTGACTCATTTCACTTAGCATGATACTTTCCATGTAGTACCACTTGTATGTAAATTTCATGACTTCATATTTTCTAACAGCTACATAGTACTCCGGGAGCCTTTTTTTATAGTCTCTGAGTCTTGGCCTTTGATGGGATTACACAGCGCCAGGGGGCCAGTTGTTGGGTATGACCCCCGCCTACTGGAATTCAGAGGATCTGGGTGGAGGATGCACAGCCCCGATCCGAGTAGGCTTGGAGATCTCAGCCCCTAGATCCACTTGCCTTTGTTCCTCTGCCGGTACCTTCAGGTGTGTGGAGAGTGGTCTCAGCATGGTGGTGGCTGGTCCTGGAGGTCTTCGGCTGCCGGAGCCCTGGTCAGAGCAGGGAGGAAAGCTCAACCCGCTCCCCTCCAAGGGTCCCCGGCAAGGACAACCAGGCGCGGGGGCAGAGACTGCACTGTTCTCTTCCAGGAGCTGGTTTTTATAGTCTCTGAGTCTTGGCCATTGATGGGATTACATGGCGCCAGGGGGCCAGTTGTTGGGTGTGACCCCACCTACTGGAATTCGGAGGATTTGAGGAACATTCAGAGGAAGAGAACAGTGCAGTCTCCACTCTCTCACTGCTGTTCAATATAGTACTGGAAGTACTTGAGGTATCGATTAGGCAAGAAAAAAATATTAAGAGCATTCAAGTAGGAAAGGAAGAAATCAAGCTCTCACTATTCGCGAATGATATGATACTATACTTAGAGAACCCTATAACCTCCACCAAGAAACACCTAGAAACAATAGACTTGTATAGTAAAGTTGCAGGCTATAAAATCAATACCAAAAGTCTATGGCTTTCCTATGTACAAACAGTGAGAGAGAAGAAAGCGACATGAAAAAGACAATCCCGTTCACAGTTGTGCCCCAGAAAATCAAGTACCTAGGAATCAGCTTAACTAAGGAAGTAAAGGACCTGTACAAAGAAAACTACAAAACGCTACTTCAAGAAATAAAAGGGGACATGAGAAAATGGAAAGATATCCCCTGCTCATGGGTTGGGAGAGTTAAAATTGTCAAAATGGCAATACTTCCCAAAGCATTGTACAAATTCAATGCTATCCCTATAAGGATACCCATGACATTCTTCAAAGAAATGAAGCAAACACTCCTGAAATTCATGTGGAACAATAAGTCCCCACGAATAGCTAAAGCAATACTTGGGAAAAAGAAAATGGGAGGAATCAACCTCCCTAACTTCAAACTCTACTACAAAGTAGTAATAATTAATACAGCATGGTACTGGAACAAAGGCATAGCTGCAGACCTTTGGAACAGGGTTGAATACACTGATATCTACCCTCAGTCATATGATCATCTAATCTTTGATAAAGGTGCAAGAAATGTGAAGTGCTGTAAGTAAAGCCTCTTTAACAAATGGTGCTGGCAAAACTGGATGGCTACATGGAAAAAAAATGGGCTCAGTACTCTGCCTAATACCATGTACAAAAGTAAGATCAAAATGGATCAAAGACCTCAACATCAGACCAGAAACCATAAGGTACATTGAAGACAAAGTTGGAAAAACCCTCCATGACATTGAAGCTAGTCGTATCTTCAATGATGTCACACCACTGGTCGAGCAAGTGAAAACAGAGATAGATAAATGGGACTATCTTAAACTAAGAAGCTTCTGCACCTCAAAAGAAACAGTGACCAAAATACAAAGACAGTTTAAAGAATGGAAAATAATATTCGCCAAATACACATCTGACAAGGGGTTGATATCAAGGATATATAAAGTACTGGTTGAACTCCACAAGAAGAAAACATCCAACCCCATAAAAATGGGGCAATGTTATGGGCATTTTTTTTAAACCTCACAGGAGTAAGTTCTCAAAAATTTGGTTGAAAACTAAGAATTGTTCCTATTTATGGAAATCTTTAGTAAAAGGCAAAAAGATTTATGCAATCTGAGGATAAATCAGAGTATTAACAATGGACTTTTTAATAGAAAACTGTTACTGCCCTGAGAAAGTTTTCTTCTACCCCTATTTTATTGAGAGTTTTTTTTATATCATAAATGGGTATAGGACATTGTCAAAGACTTTCTATGCACACATTGATAAGATCATATGATTTTTTAAAATATTTTACTAAAGTTACTTCTTAATGTGCCATTTTCCTTTGGTGTTTATTTTGTTTGTTTTTTTGTTTGGGGTGAGTCTATGAGTCATCCTACCCACTGAACTATATCTCCAGTCTCCTAAAACGCAATTCACATATTTTTAAAATTTTGTCATAGGCATAGTACTGCTTAATCCAGTTGGTTATACCCCAGTTAGTAAACATGATCATGAATATTTCTACAAAGAACACATATGACAAAAGAGAATCAACGTGAACATATTATATGACTTAGAAAAAGTTATATATGGGAAAACCTTTTAATACTAAAATAGTGACAAATTTAATACTACAAAAATGAATATATTTGTTATAAAACTTCCCATTACAAGATTATGACCCCTATTGAATGTTTTTAAATTGTCCCAAGAATTCTGGAACATGCTGGGATTTTATCACTTGTCATCAGCTTTCTTAGTTTTTAAAGTTGTATACAGGAATAAAATGACAAAATTGATTGTAAGCGTTGAAGAAATCAGGAGCACATACTTTAGTAACCTCACATTGGATTTTTGTTGTTATTGTTGCAGAGCAGTACACATCAACTAAAAGAGAAATGAATATTTAAAAACATGCATGTTTAAAAAAATTTAGTCACTGTAAAAGGTAAAGGTAAAGGCCCTCCCGTTGATCGTCGATTTGCTCGAGCGGGCCCAGTAACATCTCCATTGGAGACTTTGTTGTTACTGTGTCTGGCATATCGGATACTCTCGGTAGCTTGCCGGGCTCTCCAAGAGGGGCAGAGGAATCGAACTCGGGTCGGCCATGTTGGCCGCTTGTAAGGCGAACGCCCTACCCGCTGTGCTATCGCTCCTAGCCTGTGGTTTATAAAAATGTTAATGGTAGAGGTTGGAGCGATAGCACAGAGGGCAGGGCATTTGCTGTGCTTGCGGCCAACCGGGGTTCTATTTCCAGCATCCCATATAGTGCCCCCAGTGCCACAGGAGTAATTCCTGAGCGGAAACCCAGGAGTAACCCCTGTGCATTTCCAGGTGTGACCCAAAAAGCGAAAAAAAAAAGGCAAGATAGGGCAAGATAGGGCAATGGAGAAGATTATCCATGACTTCTACTTGGATCTCTTCGACTGCAGCTGAATCTCACAAATACAATGTTTATGAGACAGTCTCGTTCCTGACATTTCATTCGCTCTCAACCGAAACACCATCTCAGAATGCAACAGTTATGTGTACCTAGGTCGAGAAGTCAACATGACGAATGACCTGGCACCTGAGTTTCACAGGAGGAAGAGAGTGGTTTGGAACACCTTCAAGAGCATCTAAGAAATAGCTAAGAGGACAAAGAACCTCCAGCTCTGGGCACATCTCTTTGATTCCACTGTTCTTCCTGCATTAACATACTCCCTATGAAAACAGGATGAGAACGCTATTTGGGTCTCCCAAAGAGCAATCAAAAGAGCTATGCTTGTAGTATCATGCTTCACTCAAGCAAGAGAAAGAATCCAGAAATCTGACCTCCATCGAAGGCCAAGAATCAGGGACGCTGTCTTGTTTGCCAAGGCGTCAAAAATTAGATAGGCTGGACACATAACGAGATTTGGAGATGTTACCGACTGGATTCCATGGGACGTCAAAAGATTGCGTGGCCGCCCACCTAAGAGATGGTCAGACTTTTTCGTCAAGACCCTGAATGATCGGTTTGAGGTTCTGCATGCTCCTAGAACAAGCAGATGCCATTGGGCTACACTAGCATGCGAAAGGGATGAATGGAGACGTTACTGGTGCCTGCTTGAGCAAATCAATGAATAACGGGATGCCAAGTAATCAAGTGATAGGTTATCGTGCACAAAATATTCCAACAGCACACCCTTCAACGAGGGTCTGCTTTCCTACGCCATTGCCACGGTTTCATAAGCACAGTCCTCCTCCCCCCACGTGCTTTTGTCCTTCAATTGTCAGCTTCCTACTAAAGACTAAAGTATTATTGAAATTACTAAAACTTTTAAACAGTCAAATAAATTTCCTTTTTAAGTTTAGCATTTGGTAATGTATGTGAAACCTTTACATGTGAAAAGGACACATAATTCCTGTTCTGCTAATATAAATGATTTTTTGGTTTTTTCTTTAGTTCATACTAGCAGTGATTAGAGGCTTATTTCTGGTTCACCATTCAGGGATCACTCTTGGCGAGATTTGGTGGACCCTATGGGTTGCCAGTGATTGAATCCAGGGGGATAGGCAAGGCAGCCCTACTCGCTTTACTGTCATTCCAACCCCAAATTATTGTTTTAATGAGACATATGTCTGCAATTTGAGCATTCGTTTACTATTCAAATCATTTTGTGGGGCCAGAGCTATTCTATAGTGTGTAGGGTTTTTGCCTTACCTGCAGCAGACCTGGCTTCAATGCCCAGCATCACTTACAGTTTCCTGAGCACTGCCAGGGATGATTCCTGAGTTCAAATTCAGCATTAACTGCTGAACTCCACCTGTTGTGACCCAAAAATAAATCAGATATTTTTAATTGTGCATGTTACATAAGAAATGTATTAAATATCAGTTGACAGAGCAATATAGTTAAATTTAATGTCTTGTTTATTTAACAATGACTGAATTTCAAATTTATCTATATAAAATATTTTTATAAGGAGGTGGGCATATATAGTATGACTGAGGCCATCTAATAGGTTATTGAGGTTGCAGAGACTAATAAAAGAGATCTTGTTCATAGGAAGTAGAAGTTTCGTCAATTATTTAGAGTGAATTTTGTAGCAAAAAGAATTATCCAAATTAAATGCGTGGCTGTGCTTTTCTATCGGTTTTTTTTTATTGAAACAGTGGTGAAATATAGAACAACCTGGCACTGAGTCTTAAGAGATAGAATCAAAAAGTCATTTGTATTCAGACAAATTCCTAAGTTTTGAAAATCTGTGATAAGGATTTCACATTTAGTCTCCTGCCCTGCATAGAGTGGTCTATTAGTGTCAAAGGATTTGTTGTATGAACAGCTGACAGAAAGAGGAAACAAACTGAGTGAATCATTGGAAAGCAGTGCTTCATCTGGACTCCAATTCCTCTTTGACATTTGTTAACTTACTTTTAATATTTCAACAGTTACAAACAATACTAATGAACCTCAACCACATTTACTTTTGTCATGATTTATGTATATCTATGAATTCATAATCCTACCTAAGGATCTAAAGAGATAAACCCGGCATTAAGCTACTTTTCTTCCTTAATCTCTTCTTTATGTGACTCCCCTTTGAGTAACCATCATGCTTTAAAGAGTTTAAATAAGATCCAAACTACAATATGTGTATGCTTTCTAAAGTTTATAAAGATTAGAAAAGTTCTATTAAACTACATTTTTACTAACATTTCCATCTTAGGGCTGGAGCGATAGCACAGCGGGTAGGGCATTCGCCTTACAAGCGGCCAACATGGCCGACCCGAGTTCGATTCCTCCGCCCCTCTCAGAGAGCCCGGCAAGCTACCGAGAGTATTTGATATGCCAGACACAGTAACAACAAAGTCTCCAATGGAGACGTTACTGGGCCCGCTCGAGCAAATCGATGATCAACGGGAGGGCCTTTCCCTTTCCCTTTCCCTTTACCTTTCCATCTTAGATGATTATTTTTAGTTTATCAATCTTTATGAGCACAGAGTAATGATGCATTACAGATATTTTATACAGATATTTGTGAGGAGAATGGTTTGTTACATTTGAAAAATTGCTATCATTGTTGCTATAAATATGCTCTCATGGTGTAAAATTCAAGGCTGAGATATTCATGTATTTGTTTTATCTTAGAAAGGCATTCATTTTATAATGAATGTTCAATAAATTCTGTTTTTGAGGGAGATCGGTCATGGTCACGGTCCTCCCGTTGTTCATCGATTTGCTTGAGTGGGCCCAGTAACGTCTCCATCACGAGACTTGTTGTTACTGTGTTTGGCATATTGAATACTCTCGGTAGCTTGTCAGGCTCTCCGAGAGGGGCAGAGGAATCGAACTCGGGTCGGCCATGTTGGCTGCGTGCAAGGCAAACGCCCTACCAGAAAGGACAAAAAAAATTTGGATGTGATTCCTAAATATACCTGTGCAAGAGTTTTTCTATTACATATGCAATATAAATTTTATAATATAATATAAATAAAATTTCAAATGCCACACATACATATATAATATGTATAATATATATGATATCAATAGATTCAAATATGTGAAATTTTGCTCACATATTCTCCAACAGAATGTTTGTTTGCCTATTTGTTGTTTAGGTCACACCTGTTAGTGCTCAGGGGATACTTCCAATACAGTGCTCTGAGGTTGCTTCCAATGGTGCTGGGAAAACTGTGTGGTGCCTAGGATGAAACCTGGGCCTTCTGCATGCAATTCATGCACATTCCCCTTCAATCTACCTTCCCAATCTTTTGACTCAACCTTTTATTTAACTAGTCCCACAGAATTATTTTATCTTAATGCAACATAAGTTTGCATCTAGCTCTATTTTACAAAAAAACATGATCTGAAACCCATATAAATGCCTAATTACAAACTGACTGCATAAGAAAATCTGACACTTATACACCATGGGTTACTACTCAAGTATTAGGAAAAATGAAATCTTGTTTTTTTGCAATGATGTGGGTATAATTAGGCCTTTACAATGTATTTTTCTGCATTAAGTTCTTGTAACTGTTATTAGTACATAACCGGCTGAAGCCATTTCACAAGCAAATTGTTGAACATAAAGTCTGATTTGGAAATACATTCCTCTAGATGAACAGACCCATTACTTTTCTATTTTATCCTTTGTTTTCAATAACTCTTAGTCCTAGAACA